CATTTCATTTCATTTCATTTCATTTCATTTCATTTCATTTCATTTCACTTCCTTTTCTTACCTTTGTTTTTCTTCTTTGATTTGTGCTGCAGTGAGGACTGCTGAAATGTCTGAAATCAAAGGACGGGAAGAATGTTATTTGACACTCGGGGTGCCATCCGCAGTGCCAGAATGCTGCACAGAACTCTCAAGAGCTGAACAATGACTCTGAACCCAGGTCAGAGAAAGTACTTTCTTTTTCCAAAGACTCAAAACAAATTCATATAGATCATGTCACTTAACTTTCTAATCAACCATGAAGCGGGAGAGGATATTATCGTTGTCTTTCTTTTGTAGGCAGAGAAAGCAGAGCAGGAAGCACTGGTGAAACTCAGGACTCTTACATATATACAGTACTATTTTTTACCCCCCCCCTTTTTTTTTACGGGTTTATTGTGCTTTCCCAGGCAATATCTCATTTGATTCTCACAAGGGCTTATGAAGTAGTCAGGCAAATAGGACTCTCACTTGTTACTTTGAAGTTCATTCCTTTCCATAAGCCACCAGCACTTGAATGAATATTTTCTTGTCATACCTATTTCTGTTACTAGGACTGGGAAGTAATCTTCGTGTAAGTCATGTTAGTACCTCATCTCCAATGATCTTTACTTTTCCTCTCCTCAGCTACCCATCCCCATGACCAGGTTTGTTATCTTAAGCATGCCCCAACCACTGCCTCTATTATTGACATTTTATGTAGTCCAATAGCTCCAACCCAGTCATTTTTAGAAAATCTTCATTGAGGAATCCAATTCGTCGGCCTTACCACCCTTTTGTGCCTTTTTTTTTCCTCACTTAGTTTTCATGAGACATCATTATAATCATTATATTGAACCATGCTCTCTCCATCATACTTGCCTAGCTAAACAACCATCTCAGCTAAACCCGCCTGTCTGCTCTTATGCTAAGTACCAGAAAAGCCTAATGTTTTAAGAGAAAAACCCACAACTGTATTGACTGGTCTAGCTTTCAATGACTACAAATCACTGGTTCTAGTCAGTCTACTAAGCTACATTGTTGTTCAGTGGTATAATGAGGTTAATTATGTTCTCATGATTAGGTAGCTAACAGGGTACAGAGATAGCATGTGTAATTTCAATTCACAGCTACTCCTTCAAAATGAATTTTAGGTAACAAAATCTTCTTTCTCTTTAGAAGGGTATGCCTATAAGGGGTAATTGGATTTTGCTTACATAAAACTCGCTGGTCTTGGTTTTATACAATACATTTGTATTCTGTGACATACTTTCTTATTTGGTATCTTTGTTCATAAAATAACATTCTACTTATAGTAATTTTCTTGTTTTGTATATGGTTTACTTAATTCTCATGAATATGGTATTACGGATGGATACCAGTCCTAAAGATGAGGATCAGATAAATTGCTGATGTACAGCGTAACCCAGAAATAATTACCTTTAAAGCAATAGAAACATGTTTGTACGTGGTGTGTGTGTGTTTACAACACTTTGCTGGACACATGGCTACAGAAATTCATAATCAATTTTGGAGAGGAAACAAAAGATAAAACCTGTTATGCTGTGTTGATTCTCTTGAGTGCACTTTGTTTCAAAATAAGAGCTCAAATAATAACTCAGGCTAGTGTGCTCAAGTATAGGTAATTTACATAGATTTATTTTCCCTAAATTGTTTGTCTATAAAATTACTGATTGTTTTTTTTTCCTTTCGTGTTTCCACAAGTACTCATTACAATCTTACAGTTCATTATTCTTAAAAATGACAAAGGTGGGGGTGGTTTATTTTTAGGGAGCTATATATATAACAGACAACTTGAAAGAATTGAGTTATATAAGGTACCTCCTATGCCTTTTGCATGCTATTTCTTAGATCCTGGAGGTCTACTTTAAAATCTACACAAAAATATATTTTATGCTCTCCAGGCTTTCTTTATAATAAGATTATCTTTTCTTTCCCCATAGATGTTTTTATACTGAGCGTGATTGCAGAGTATAATCAGTGTACATACTGTTGAAACTCAAGAACTCCCAGGCACGCAATATAGATTTATCCAACATTCAAAGAAGCAAAGCCATAGATGTCTTTTGTAAATATTACAAATACTACAATGAAATTATCTTAAGAGATTTTATTATTTTTCCGTGTGACATTTTCTAAAATAAAAAAATGAATTGAACTACAGTTGAGCCTTCAACAAGGTGGGGAGCTAGGGGCACCAACCGTATAACTTTTGACTCCCCCCAAAACTTAACTATTAATAGCCTACTGTTAAACAGCTTAAGCTACTGTTGACTGGAAATCTTACTGATAATGTGAACAGTTGATTAACTTTATATTTTATATGTTATATGTATTATGTACTGTATACTTACAACAATACCTAAATTTTTCTTACTATTTTTCAGTATTTCTAGGCGATGTGGTTTGCCTGTGAGTTTTTTTCAAATTACCCCTCACCAGGCTAACCCATCCCCCCCTCCCCTCTAGAACCCTCAGTTTGTTTTTCAGAGTCCATAGTATATGCTTTTGAAAGTAATAGGGAAAGCAATGAAAATTACAGTTAAGGAAATAGGTCTCTAGAAGAGAATTAATACAGCAGGCTTCAGGCTGCTATCTCAGAGGGGCCTGCTTGCAAGGTTGGCCCTCAGCTATCATCTGGGAACTTGGCTGGTAAACAGTTCCCTATAACTGACATGAGCTTTACTAAGCAACAAGACTGTTTTGCCCACCCAGGGACTAAACACCTGTTTTTCTTTGGGGAATCTAGAATTTTTGTAGTTGCTAGACAGAGGATGTCTCTATGACCAATCCAATAAAAGTCTTCAGTGCTGAGTCTTTAATGGGCTTTCCTGGGCAGAGACAATATACACGTGACTGCATTTTTGCTGCTTGAGTGAGAATGCACTCCACATGATCTGTCACAAGGAGAAAGCATAGGAAGCCTGCACATAGATTTCTCCAGATCCCATAGGTGTCTTTTTTCCTTACTGCTTTGACTATACCTCCTTGCTGTGTCACTGTAGTAAATCTTAGCTGTGGGTAGAACTACATGCTGAGTCTTGTGAGTCTTTCTAGTGAATCACAGAACATTTGGGTGATCTTGGGGACCCCTGAAAAAGCCTCATATTCAAAAGAGTCCTTACAAACTTATATTAAAAATTGTTCATATGCATAAATAAGCTACTGATAGTGAAGGTTTCCTCATGTCATCAGTGATGGGGTGATTAGGCACTCCTGATGTGCAAATTTATAATCCTGTGTAGTCTTTTCTAGTAGAACTGATGGAATTCTTCATTCTGAATGACAATCGGTATCACTTTTTTTTCAGTTTCTAATGATATCATGAAAAATTTCACATAAGCAAGACATTAAGAACAGACCCATGACTATAATGGCTAACACAGCAGATCATATAAGGTGCTATGACTGAAAAAAAAAGAGAGGCCTGGAATCTTTGCTTTCATGATGATGAATACTTTTCTCATGACAGTGGAAATTTACAATATATTTTATTTTTGTGTTTTTCTTATTAGCTTTAGATCATCCTTCTTCCAGGTTCATGTTCAAGTATATATCCTTCAGAAGTTCTTTCATAACAGTCTGTGTCTAAAGTATATATCCTTTAGAAGTTCTTTCATAACAGTAGCAAGCTCTTCTAGATTTTTATGTTTGAAAATATTAAAAGCCTTCACTCTCGAATAATAGCCTAGCTGGGCATAGAATATTGAGTTGAAAATCATTTTCCCTCAGCAATTTGAATATATTATTTTCTTTTGGCATTTATTGCTACTCTGAAGACATCTGTGGCTACTTTGTCATTTGTCACAAGTTGTCTTTAGTCTCTCAGTAGCTTTTAAAATATTTTTCTCTTTATTCCTGATATTCTGCAATTGTATAAGTTATAATTTCTCTTAAATAATCCTATTTCACATTCATTGTGTTGTCCTTGAAGGTATTATTGCTTTAATTCTGAACATTCTCAGGCATTATGTTTTCAAATGGTCTTTAGCAGTCTCTTTTTTTTCCTTCTAGACATATGTAGACACCTCTCAATTTATCAACCATATATTTTTCATATTTTTTATACTTTCATATTTCTGCAATGCTTTTTAGATAAATTCATTCTGATGTCTTCTAATTTCCTAATTCTCTCTCTTATTGCATCCAGTTTTAGGTTTATCCTATTTGTAGAGTGTTTATTTCACTGACTATATTTTACATATCCAGGATGTTTTGTTGGTATTGGCTCTTTTGACTATCCACTGTTCTTAATCATCCTGTTGTTATTTCAAAATTCATTTTAAGTGCTTTTGTGGATTTTCCATAATTTGTATTTAGTAAGGAAAGAATCACCCAAGTACAAGTCAGAGCTCTGGTCAGTGGCTGTTTTTTATTCAACCTCCTTACTCATGGGCGAGGAAGCTCTGCTTGCTCTCCCATTTGGTTTCACTCAGTGAAGTCAATCCTCAGTTTCCTGACATGGCTGCAGGTCACTTGTTCCCTGATACCCATTACAGCGGACTCCCAGCCATCTTTATCTCTTTCTGGACTCAGAGCCGACCAGCTATGTGGCTTTAGTTCCCATTTAACACTGAACAATTTTGTTCTTTTTTCTGGTACTTGGAGACTAGCTCTTGCTTTTGACCCTGATCATTACCTTTTATGTGTTTGGAGTAGGGTGAGTGTGTGTGTGTCTGTGTATGTGTGTGTGAGTGTGTATGTGTATTTAAAGCATAAGCTCATAATGCTTATTGACCACCAAAAATAGATTCCCTTTGTAAGCATTTGTGAAGATTAACTGCCTTGAAAATGTATTTTTACCTTATTTCTTAAATTATCATTTAATAAAATCTTTTTTTAAAAGATTTATTTAATTATACACAGAGAGAGAGAAAGAGTGAGCACGAGCAGGGGGAAGGGCAGAGGGAGAGGGAGAGGGAGAGAAATCCTCAAGCAGACTCCCTGCTGAGTGAGGAGCATGACGTGGGGCTTGATCCCAGGACCCTGCAATCACGACCTGAGCTGAAACCAAGACGCTTAACCGACTGAGTCACCCAGGTGACCCTCAATGAAATCTTTTTAATGCCCTCAC